AACAAAACGAACCATTCTTAAGTTGCGATCAATGTACATTCTTCTAGCTTCTGTGGAAATCTTTTTTTCATTTCCTCTCGTTTTTCCTCAATCACGTTTTTTTGGAGCCGATAACTCATTTCTTGTTTTGAGTTTTCACACATTTTTTTTGTTTAATATAATATCGTTTATATTTAACATTTAATAATATTATTACTAATATAATATATTCTTAATAAATATAATTATTTATTTTATTAAATCTATTACACTCTTCAATAAAGTAAAATGTATTATAAAATTACTATTACATTTAATGTTAACTATATGTACTATATATACAACAACAATTTACCACAATTATTAATACATTCTTTTTAAAGTATTTATATAATAACAAAAAATTAAAAATAAACAAATTATACTGAATAGTAACATAATTATAAAAATATTAATAAAACTGTCCAACTACTTGAAATTGGCAGTCGCATCAAAAAATGAAACTACCAAAACAGACATGGCAAAAACACAGGCTGGTGCATATCACAGTCTTGACGTGAATATTCCTTCTGAGTTTGAAGGCAACCCATATATGGCGTCACAAATGACTTCTAAGTTCATCGTCTCGTTTTACACCAACTCGAAAACAGCTTTAGTCCACTTCCCAGGCCAACAAAATTTCGAAAAGATCACTACCGAAGGCAAGGCGGGGTGTTCGCTTGTGTCGAAGTACTCCGACGCATTTTACTTCTACGTGTATCCGGAGGAACTCCACGTCTTAACCGTTTGTCTTTGAATAGTTACAATTACTATAAATTAGTTATTGAAACGAGTACTTATGATTTGTGTCGCCAACAAACTGACAGACAGTACGACCAAAAATTTTCACACGAAAGTATCAACTTTAAGAGCGAGGGAAACACGATATCGGGGACATCACTGATACTTGAAAATGAAAAGAACATCTACTGTATCAGTAACTCCAAAATAGTGACTATTGAAAAGAAGAGTATCAACAAACCAAAGAACGTTTGCCCTCTAGATAATAGCTTTAGTTCATTTGCCAAAGAGTCGTGTGTTCTTCCAAACAACCGAGTGTTGTTGGCGGATAGCGTGGTCAACATGGGTAACGTCCACTTCAAAGTGTGGGATTTGGTGTCGAAGAAAGTCGTTGCCCAAATGTACCGAGTCGTTGGGGAGAATGAGCCGAGTTACTCTCAAGTGTTTCACAACACTGTCTTCATGTCTATGGGTACTTCCATTTATCAATGTGACATCAAAGATGAACTCAACCCGGACGAACTTGTTACACTCGAATTTTCAAAACACGAGTTCCATGACAGATCCATTCAATCATTTTCAGTAGAACAAGATTACGTGTTTGTGGGTGACTCCTATGGAATGGTTACCGTTCACTCATACCCAGGATTTCACTTCCATAACACTATAGATTTGGGCATTGAAAGAGACGAACAGGTCAAGTACTTTGATGAGCGGCCTGTCTTCAGTTTCAGAAATTCCGTTGTTGGGATGAAACGAGTGTACAAATATTTGATCTATTGGCTACTTAACGGAACAGTCTGTATTGGCAATTTCTTTGCGACGGAAAAACGAGTGGACACGTTGTCCTTCCAAGACACAAAACATCAGTTGAGAGACGTGAACTTGACATTTGGTGATAAGCTTGGTATTGTAATGCGATTCAATGTGTTGAAAAGACAAAACTCTGCTATTGTTCCAATCAACGAGTTTTATCAGTGGGACGTGACGTTACCAAGTCCAGTTCCTCAAAAGCTTGCGTACGTCGGATTCTTCGAAATGCTCCCACAAATCATTTCTGGCATATACAACGCACTTGACGGAGGGAATTCAAAGCAAATTGAAAAGCTTCGGACGGCTGTTAAAGAGTGTTACTTCACTATTGTGACTATTAATAATATCAAGGAACGTTCTGGAGCAATCATTCCATACGAATTCTTTGCAGACATGGTCAATGGCCTCGCAGAAGCACACTCATTTTCTGCAAATGATTCGAAGAAGTCACCCGAAGAGATATGTCAACAACTCACAAAAGCATTGACGGACTTACAAGTGATGGTCGATGACTCTGTCGCGATTTCGATGAATAAAATCGACATGTTGAGAGACCCAAAGTTCTTTAACGCATCTCAAACATCAAGCTTTGCCGTGAAAACTATTAACTTCAGAGAGTCTGTAAGATCACACTTCATGGAGATGTTGTTGGACCCAAAGTATGTTATAGACGATAACGACCATAGAATGAAATTCTTCTACATGAACAACACATGCTTCTTGAGACAGAAACAAAACGATTTCACAAAGCACATCAACCATTTCAATGACTTTTGTGTCAGTAATGATGTTGGCGCACTTGTAGATGCCCCAGAACTTGTGAAGGTCAATGCACTGTTAACCCAAATTCGAGACGAAATTGAAGAGACGCGCGGCGATATAAAAGATTTCGTATCACAGACATTCGCGTCAGATAAATGGTTGCACGAACTAGATTACATATCTCAACAAGTCCCCACTATTTAATGTGTTATGTTTTCGTCTTTTTTGAAATTTTTAAAATTCACCAAAATTATAAAATCAAAGTGCATGTAAAAAGATGGTTTTTAATGTTGTTATGTACCTTGTTTTAACAAAAAGTGTCTGAAAACAGTGGCTTATAACAGTTTCAACTACTTGCTGTAAATCCAAATTACTGTTTTGTTGTTCAAAATATAATACTGAGATAAATGACAAACTCGATATAACAGAATATGACGAAAACAACAAAAATGTATCATGAAACTTAGTTTATATTTATTTCCAACCATATTAATTGCTTTTTATAAATATAAAAAAGTCAAACCGTGATAATTTGTCGTTTTTATATTTGCTGAATCCATCGTCAAAATCCAATACAATTGGATATCAAACGAACTTGATTTATGGAACTAACTGTCTTGTTATACAACCTTTTTAATGATTTTGAATATAAAAATGAAATCAATTTGAAAATGATTTTTAAAAACGAACTCTAACAAAAGATAAAAAAATTATTTATATTAAAGTTAATTAATTTATAACGAAAATTTCTTGGAGTGTTCAAAAATGCATAAACAGTGTGTGATCAAATTAACTTTTCATAACTTTTGGTGTTTTTTGTATTATTTAAACTTTAAAATTGTTGTTTTTTCGAATCGTCGCATATTTATACAATAAAAAAGCGATTTTAAAAAACATCATTTTTTTAAATTAATAATATTTGGAATGAATGAATATCGTGATATACATTATATTTTTTAAACACACCTTTGGTTATACATATTAATTTTAATCATTGAAGAGTCTAGAGTGAGTTTTTAATCATAATTTTTTAAATTATTTAAAATTGGGTTTTTGAATATTTGAAAAAAACAAATAAAACAAACCGCCGAATATTATTATTGGAAAAATCGATAAATATTATTTATTATTATTCTCAAAAGTCTTAATTATCATAAGAATAAACACATCAAATCGAACATTTGGGATATTTTAATAAACTTTACATTATTAAAGTTAAAATACAACAATTTCTAAAGCGTTCCATTCCACAAAGTTGTTCCCAAAAAACAAAGACAATAAAAACTCAAAATTTCAAGACATTTTGAATGTATTATAATTAAATAAACTTAAAAACAACATCTACAAACCAACAATCAATGCCATGCCAATTAAACAACTTTGAAGCCTTCTTTCAATCAAAAATCGACTATAAAAATTTCGAGACATACCAACAATCTGTTTTAATTGCTATACTTTCAAAGTTTGCAACAATTACAATAAAAAAGCCAAGAAAAGCCACAAAGGTGACAGAAGTACACCCACTAATCCAAACAATAGATTTTGGGGATGACATGGTCAATGTAGCTTCATTGGCTTGTTCAAAGTGTCAACTAAATTATAAAAAAGATTGTAATAAAATGAAGTACCATGCTGCATTCTGTCGATTCGAAAAGAACAAAAAGAACTTTGTACAAAATTTGTTGATAGATATGTTGCTCGAGTTTGGGTTCTTTTTCGAGTCAAAAATGGCCAAAAAGTCAACGAAGACAATTCAATTAGAAAGAATTGCATCAGTTTTTTACAAAGGAAGATTAACACTGGATTTTCAAGAGTTTGTTTTATGTGGAAAAGAAGTGACTGATTACATTGGAAAAGAGTTTCAGAGAAACCAAAGTACTATTGTAATTAAAAACGATCCTATTATATCCTCTTTATTGGACAAATATATTTTGTAAATTTATTTTATCGTGTTTTTTATTGTTACAATTTTATACCTTTTTATTTGTTTACACAATGAGTTTATTATATTGTTATTTTCACGAAAAATAACATTATCGTTTAAGTTTTATTCAAATATTATGAAAAATGTTTAATTTTAACCTAAGTTTTCTTTATTTGTAACTGATTCTTGAAAAAAAAGTATTACTATTTATAACAAAAAGTAATTAAACTTATTCTTAAAATTATAGTTAATAATATATAATTATATTAACTATATATTTACTAACAATATATTGTTATTAAATTTAATAATTTCATAACTCAATTTAACTAATCATTATAAAAAATAAATTAAATAAAATTTTTTCTATTAAAAAAAAAATTAAATTATTGTCAATTATTATCCTTGCCACCTGGTGCTGGATACCTTAGAACATTGAAACTATTTAAAAAAAATTAAAAATATAATAATATTAAATTGCCGTTATTGAACCGTAAAAGTAAGGTATTTATTCTTTATATTTTATACTTTTTGGCAAATTTAATAACATGGTTCCAAGTTGGTACACGTCATATAACCCGGGTTTAGAAAAAAAGACAAATTTTTTAGTTTTTTAGCCACAATAAATAAAAGACTAAAAACCCAGGGTGTTGCAATCTTTTGTCGCAAATTATTATCGCCATTGGTTGTGTTTTGCCACATTCAACCAAAAACAATAGACTCAATCTTAGTATATTATAATAACATTATATTAAATTTTTATTATTTTAAATAATCATATCCACAAACATAGAATCTTCTTAATAAGTTTTTCTTTTCTTCCCGATAATTTACGTCGATGTCTTGTATTTATCAAAAAATAATTTCCTATTTATAAAAAAAAGATTTTAAACGTCGAAAAACAATGATACTTTTTATAATTAAGAATTTTTATATGCCATAATATCCCGTTTTTTGCGCTTTTATTGTTCTAAGTTAGACAATTTAAAAAAATGACTGATTACAAATATCAATCTATTTAATATTAAATCATTAATAAATTTTTTTTAAATTATATTTTTTTCAATGAATCTCAACCCTGGTTATTTGTTTCATTTTTTGTTATATATTCAAATCATCAATATTTAATTTTTAATTTATAAAACACATTTAATAAATAACTTGTTAAAATAACCATACAGTATAGTGTTGCGTATCTTTTAAGATTATCGAAATGGCTACCTTTTAAAAATATTAAAAATACTTGCCATTATATAAGATTATTTAGAATACGGACTTTGAATTTTTTTGGCAACTCGCAACTCGGGTTCCTTCAAATCTTTATACAAAAAAATAACCATTTTTTCTTGAAAAATCCCGATTATTTAAATAAAATAAAGGCTGTAAAACAAGAGAACCAGAGTAACTACTTTTTGATTTAGTCGTTAAAAATGAATAAAAGAAGACCCAGGTTGATGAATACTTTTTTCAATAATATAAGACTACAACGAACTTGAAAGACATAGATGTCCAAAGTCAGTACGATCCGTGAAGCACAAAAGCATAGAAGAGAGCGCAATATCCAAGTAGAGCTCGAGTGTGTCCTTATTGCACTTCTCTCTCACAAATACTCCTTTGTCATCTCCCGTCCCCAAAAAAAGTCCCGCCTCACTTTAGAATTTGTCAAAATCAAAACCATCATCAGAACAGACGAACCAGACTTCGCTTTTGACGTTCAGAAACACTTGAAAGCACGAAGCATGAAATGGGCAAATATAATGTACGGGGACGGCGTCGCTAAACTAACAGCTACACGTCGGTCAATGTTAATGAAACGAAACGACGTAGTTCACTTGTTAGAGGATCTACTGTTCGAAGACAACATAACAACGTTTTGTCAAAAAGAAAACAGAGAAGGTATTGTAGGGAGTGTTGCCATAAACTTTTACAATGAATTTTTGCTCCCACACGAAGAGATATCAAAGACAGGAAATGCAATATGGAATTACTTTATGCAAAGACTTGAGTCGACTCTCCAGACCACCATTGAAAGTGGAAATCTCGACAAATTTATGCCCTGTTTTGTGTTTGAAAATTAGAATTGCGCGTTCTACTTTGTTATTTTAATTCATTTCGTTGTTATTAAATTAAGTTTCGTTGAAAGTTAAACAATTACTCTTTGATGAAGATTATTCAATTAAGAAATGAAACGTTTTGAGTGAAAAGTTGAACAAACTAATCAGAGTGTGTATGTTTGTTTTAAATTTTATAATTTATATGTTTTGAGAACAAAATTGTACAAAACATACCTTTTTGAATTAACATTAAATTAAAAGTTTTGTTATTAAATTTAAGTTACCTAATGAATTATAAAAAATTCATAATCCACAATTATTGCTTTAAACAATGATAATAGAACTTCAAAATAGAGTTAGTCGGAAAACGTTGTCTTAAGCTTTTTGGTCAATGAAAATTGGAAAATATCGGGATCATGTTCAAAATATAAAATAATCGTCGTTTTAGTTTTTTTCCCAAATATTTCCCAATTTTTCAATTTTAACCTAATTCCCAGGGTTTTAAACAATTATTTGTGTATAAATCGATAAAAAGAACAACATTTTACAACAAACTCTACTTATTTTAAATTTGTTTTAACAAATAAACATTAATATCTTAGATATTTAATTATTCTTTTTTAAACAAATTATTTACTTAAGATGTATTTTTATTATTTCTTGAAGATTAAAAACATAAAAAAGAAAAAAATATTTAAAAAATATAAAATAAAGTTTTTAACCTTACGATACTGTTATTGTTTTAAATTAAACATAAATTTTATTTTTTTGAACTTGATATGATAGAGTCGCCACAAAAAACTTACCTTGTGGCGACTCTTTTGAAATGTAAACAGTAAACAAACCAATCGCGCTTTTAATAATTTATAGGTTTTCCTTTTTTCTTTAATTTTTGGAAATGTTTTAATTAAAACACAAACAGTATTGGCGTTTTTTACAACAAAACATTTTTTTGGAAAAAAAATGTTGTATAAAAGAAAAAAAAATAGTAAGGTTAAGAAGGTATATAACGATGTGAATAAATCATTTGATTGATAAATTGATAATATTAAATGTAATAGAGTCAGTCTTTTAACTTATCTAATCTCGAATATTATCGGTAAAAAAATAGCTATAATTGTGTTTAAACATCGGGCATTAAATAAAACGTGAAAAAACCCGAAACAATTATGATGTATTTTTGGGACGGCTTCCCGAAATATTCCAATTTTCAAAGTCCAAAAGGATCCAAACAACGTTTGAGACCAGATTTCGTTTGAAGACAGACTGTATGGGTTTTTTTATTACTGTTAACAGAAATAGTCAAGATATTTGAGTATAATCAGTAAATGTGATGTTTAAATACTTGGTGTTAGTTGTTAACTTTGATCAAAATTTCAAAAAATGAAGTGCAGTTAATTAAGGCGTTTTTAAAATAAAATGAACGGTTGTTGACAAAAAAGTATATTCACAAAATTAATGATTGACAAATATTATGTTTTTTTAATTGAAATATTAAATTGGCTTGATTGAAATTTGGCTTTGTTTTTTTTAATTGCTTTGTTTTAAATTCATTATATTATATCAATTATATGCTTTGAAATGACAACACATCTATATTTCTTTCATATTATGTTGTTTTTATATGATGTATTGTTGAACTGTTTAATTTACAAAGCAATGAATAGATAGAATATAAAGAACAACAACATTTAATTGAAAAATTAAACTTTTTTTGTTGGATATATTAGAAAAATAAATTTAAAATGCAAAATACTTTTTATATTGTTAATACAAATAGCAAAGACAAAAATATATGATAATGACGTAGAAACATTATAAATATAAAACATTCAGAAACATAAACAAACTCAAACCATTTTTTAATCATGTACACCATAAGATCTTTTAATAATATAGTAAAGTTAGTTGTAAAATATTTTCCATGTTTTTTTTCGTTATTAAAATCGAAAAAAATCAAGAATATATACAAAATATAATATAGTCTTGTTTAATTTTTATTTGTTAATAAGACAAATTCGGAAAATGTACAACGTTTAACAACAAACTTTGTGTTTTATTTAATTCCATTTACTTTGTTGAATTGTTGCTTGTTATACAAATGAATTTTTAAGATATATTAAAACATATTTTTTCAGTAAAAGTGAAATGGAATTCGCAACATCGACTTGCTTGATTTCAAATAATGTCAATACAAACACCTCTTAAAATCACTTACAAACAAATTTTAAGTATGATTCAATTTGAATAATATTTAAGAAATATTTGAAGTTACGTGGAAATTTTGACTTTTTTAATTTTTTTCTTTGAATCAATCAATTAATTTTTTGATTTATTTTTAATTGATTCTAAAGATAAAAAATAACACAGAAGAGATAAGAAGCAATTTGAACATTTCAAAAGAAATGTATTTTTTACATTCATTGACGTAATGGGGTTTTAGAATTTTATGCAATCCGTTCGTTTTTTTTAAATGCTGTTCTCATGTATTTTGAGAACAACATACTTTTATTTTTAAAAAAGACCAACAAGAACAAACATTTCACTTGGATAAGTCTCCATAACTGAAAAAACCAGAAATGAACGTTAAAGTGAACAAACACAAGAAAAATGAAAAAATCAGTGTCTGTTTCGTGAAGAAAAGTAATAGCGCAGTTCCGCCCAATTTCTTGACTGACTTGGATGATGATATCGACAACGAAATACTCTCAATTTTAAGACATTCACAACCTTCTAATATAGTTCAGGTGTACGATGACAAAGTCTTTAATTTTGACGAGGACCTTACCCACTATATAAGAGAGACGAAAAGGGTAAACTCGCATTAAAAAAGTGTAATTACTGTTATGTGTTAACTTTTGTTTTACTTGATTACAACTACATTATTCAAACTAAATAAAAAAGAGTATGAAAAGTTACTTTTTTATTTTTTTCAACAAATTACTCTATAATTTAAATAAATAGTATTGTTAATAGTAATAATCAATTATACCAATTATAGTTATTATTCTTACAAAAATTGTCATATCTTATTATTTTAATGTTGTTGAAAAATACAAACAAAAAACAAGATTTATTGTTTTTGTTGAATTTAAAAACATTTTTATGCCAATTTTTTATTTGTTGTACCAAAATTTTCAACATTCCAGTTTTTATCTAAATTGTATGGTTTATTATAATTAAAATTTTATAAATTATAGTTACAACCATTTTTTTCAAAAACGAAATAAAATGTAAGAAACAATAAAACAAATTTTTACATTACATTCTGAATTCCTCTTTCGTACTTCATTTATTTTTCTTTCCAAAAAAAATATTATTATAACTTAAAAAAGTAAAATAAATTTTTATTACAAATCACGTGTTATTTTATTAATTTACAAAATAAAAAGCGATAATTCTTAATTTTGCTTTTATGCAAAAAATAAAATCGACATTTCATTAAAACTTTAGTTTAAATTCAATTAAAGTGAATGCAAGCCATTTACTCTGAAAAACACAAAAACCTGTAAAACACAAAGAAATAAAAATCAGAAAATCACGATCATAAACCCAGTGAAAGAAATGACAAACCAATAAGCGTTAAAAGCCGTGAAGGACCACACTCCCCACATCCGGAGTCTTACATCTTTCATGAAAATATAAACAATAAATAGTACCAGCCAAAGTGGTGGCAAAATGAATCCCACCAAAAACAAAAGTTTTGCTCTACGCAATGACTTTTCGCTTGTTTGTTCCGACGTCACTGTCGACTGGGCAAAAAGTGGTTGTTCAGATACAATTTGTCCAACATGTGAAGTCCCGTATGGATCCGGTTGAACGTACACTTGTTGTGTTGTGTCATGTATAATTGGTGCTGTCGCAACCTCCTCCATTATATATTATAAGTTCTATTCGCCACTCATTAAAAGTTCATTTCTATTAATTAAAAAATACCATTCAAATGGTTTTATTATTTAAATGAATTATGTGTTTTGATGATTGACAAATGTAATCTGTTTTTTCAAAAATGTTATTGGATTTGTTATTATAAATGTTATTTGAAATGTTATTCTGATGTTCTTTTAATAAATCAGTTGTTTATGAAAAAAATCAAACTTTAAATGTCTAAATAAAAGATGACTGAAAAATATGATGTTCCATTATTACGAGGTTATTTAACTCGACAAGAAACAAGCGGAACAAAGGGGTGGAATAAGAGGTGGTTTCAAAACAGTTATGAACACCCTTTGATACTCGAGTGCTACCAAAGCGAGAAGTCTACAAAACCACTATTGGTAATTGACTTTAAAGACGTCTCTGACTTGAAAACGCTCAGAACAAAAGCGGACGACTCGGACAAAAAAAGATATGGCTTTCAGTTCAAATACGGAAAACACTCGCAGAAGCTGTTAACAGATGGCGAGGATGAAGGCGAGTACTGGAGAGAAGGGTTTTCATCCCTTCTCAAAGTGGCGAGCGGTAAAGCTTTGGAACACAAAGTTGAGAAACCAAAAGAGGATGTTGACCCCCAAGGGCTCTATCCGGGCGAATACTTTGCCACCACTTTAGTCGACTTTTGTTCTTCAGAGTCCGGGATAATGAGCTTTAAAAAGGGGGAGGCTGTTATTGTTGTTGGACAACCCGAGAACGGTTGGGTTCCAATTGAATTTGGTGGGAAGCGTGGGTGGGCGCCGGCGGAGTTTATCACAAAAGTGGCGCCAAACAACGTGAGAAACTGAATTGAATTACAAAGTGATTTCTGTTTGTGGCGGAAATAGTGTAGTGTAGTGAATGATGGAGTATGTGTATACAAAAGGGTAACCCCTCAAAGAAGGTTGTAGACACGTCACACAATTTTCGACTGTCATCTTCGTCTCTTGTTGGTTGTCCGAGAGGATTTTGAGTAAGTCCAACAACTCGCGTAAGAATGCGTATGTCAGTGGCGGCATTGTCGAGAACACTTCTTTGAATTCATTCAACACTTCGTTGTCTTGCATCGAGTCTTTAACTAATTGTTACTATTGAATAGAGTTAAATAATTGAAGAGTAGTACTATTACTATAACTATTACATCCTATTACATAGAACAAACATCTCCATAGCTCATATAACTTCTCATCAACGGACTTGGGCACAACTTGATCGGGTAACGACTTTATATAGAGTTTTAAAGCTCCTGCGACCGAGTGAATGTCAACCGAAGCCAACAAATCAAACGTTATAATTTTTGAATCGACTTTCGAGAGAATTAACTCGATCTTTTCTTTACTCCCCGACACTCGGAATATGCCCTCGATGTGTGCGCCTTTCTCTTTGATGTATTTTATTAGCATCGAAACGTTTTTGGGAATATGCAAGAAATTGTGTTCGTTTGCTAATTGATCCAACGACAACCCCACTATCTTCACGGTCTTTGTTTTCGTCCGTTTCACAAATTTTATATTCAGAATGTTCTTTGTCCGCGGCGAAAGCATCGAAGGCGATTGTGTCGATTTGGGGGTCATTGCCTTAGTTGTTTTGTCGACGGATGTCTCTGTTATTCCAAGTGAATTAACAGGCACCCCGACTTTATTAAAAAAGATGGAAGTGTTATCTGGGGACTTGATGAGTCTTCTTGGGACGACTTCGAACCACGGCTTAACGGAATTCAATTTATTGAGCCATGTTTGGAATTTTGAAGGGTCTTCGAACTCAAGAGTGATGTATTTGTTCAGTTCTAAGGAGACTTGTGAGAGTGGGATGATTGCAGCCTTTGAGATGTAATAAATGGACTCCAATGTTCTGGTCTTCTTACTGATCAACAGAAAGTTGTCACACAATTTAACAACTTTCATTCGCTTTCCCATCGTCTCTGTCCCATACAACACATCATCCCCATCGGAAGTATCGGGCACGACTTTATATACCGAAGTGAACAACTGGAGCAACTGTTTGTGTGAGTACGACGCGAAGTGATGTTGAAAGTTTGCGATTTGTGCGGTGAGTGAGATGAAATGGTCTCCAAGTTTTCTGTAGTGTTTCATCAACTGCTCAATCGAAGTGTCTGCGTCGCTTTTTTTCCGTGGAGACCTTGGTGATCGTGGTTCACATTGTTGTTTGGTCGGATTCAGTAGTTTGTTGTGCGATAACAATTCGAGGTGGTGCTTATAGAAATACAGTGTGTCCAATGTCGTACACACTATATTAGTTTGTTGTTGGGTCGTGTCCAAAGTCGATTTCATTAACATCGCTGACAGTGTAGGACGGCCGCCCTCTGAGTTTGTGAGAAATGGCTCTTCGCTTCTTGTGAGTGGGTGTTCTAGTTAAATATAGTAAATATATAGTACGCTTTTAGAATTAATTCAATCAGTGGAACAAACACATCAAACTCGGACATTTTCAATAAATGTGCTTTCGGGCGTGGTCGACGTGGCGTGGGTAGGACCTCCATCAAAATGAGTTGATTTGTATTTTACGTTTTTGTGTTTTTTGAAAAAATTACTCCAATTGAGAAAAAACGAATTATAAAATAGGAAAAGTAGAACTGAGATTGGAATATGCCCGATTTTGTGCTCGATGATATTTTTAGTGCAATCATTCAAATGGTTATGAAATAGTTGTTTTATGGTTGTTTAATGGTTTTGTGTAAGAGACATATTTTTCGTTTTGGGCGGTGGGTTGTAATAGCACGAAAACATGGGAAAGAACGGGTAGAATAATTTCCCGAATTGTCATAGTAAAGTGGTGGATATAAAAAAAAATATTTTATTAAGTTTTTATTTTAATACTAGCGAGGCAAATACAATTTTTTGTTACCAATTTCTTTATTAAAACATTGAAGATAATACAGAATGGATTTGATCTACAAAAATGATCTTAATTTAGATAATTAAACTCTTGGTTTTATCAGACAATTAAAATGTAATTTTCCAGGAAAAAAATCAATAATATCTGATTAATCAGATGATTTACTCAATAACAAAATATATCTATATCTTAATAAAATAAACATTACTATTTTGAAATTATAATATGAAACTATGCAAAATATTTATTTATTTAATTTATTTTAATATAGATATATAATAGATTAAACTAAAAAATAATTATCATATATTTAATCTATAAATAATTTCATTAAGAGAATAGTATAATAGAATTAAAACTCTAATATTTTTGTTTTTTATCAACAACTGGACAAAATCTATATAGTTGATTTAATAAACTATATTATAATGAATTACAAATGATAATTATATACCATACTCAATAGTACAATTTGAATTAAAACCAGAGGTTTCCAAAATCCCGATGCCAATTACCCACGTCACCATTTTATAACCAAAAAGTTTATTTTCTCTTATAAACTCGTACGTTATAATACCACATTTTCGGCAATAATTATTTTGGAAACGCCTGATTAAAACGGTTGAATTATGAGAAAATAGATTTTTTATAGTCTAAATTTGCATTTTTGATGTTGGCTTAATCTGAGGCTATCTTTCGGTTTGTTTTCTATATAACTTTCGGGATTAAAACAATAATAATTTACCATACTTTGTTCCATGTGATACTAATAAATGATTTGTTTCTATTCTATATGTCAATAAAACCAACTTCTGTCAGTTTGTCTTCGAATTATTTTAAGCTACAAATAGCGATTGATATAAGTTATTTTGAGTTTAACAACAAAAATGGTACATACGGGCAGTTGTTATACGCAAACTTCACTATTATAACGGCACTTTTCTGCCCGTGGTAATAGAATAAAAATACCAATATGACTTGCAATATCCACAAATTCGGGTGACAGTATTTTTGTTGAAATGTAATTTTACAAAGAGCATAACAAGCCAACTGGAACAGATTCCAACATTAAGTCGAAAATAAACTAGTTTTAGAGAAATAAAGCGGGATATGTCGATTTAAGAAATAAAGTTAATTCATACATTATCTTTTGCAAAGTCTTTTATTGAAAAGAGCGGTTCTATTTCAGTGTTTCTATAAAACAATAAAACATAGTATTAAATGTTATATCTTTCCATTATAACTATAGTAAAGTGGTGTAATCTATCAAAAGAGAATTATGAGGATTACCAAACTATACAGATTTGTTTACATTTCTTTTGGAAAAATGCCATTTTCCGCTTCACCAATGGCCAAATAAAGCACACGCCCTTTATTAACATACAAATTTCCCACTTTTTCCGAAAAATTTGCTTGGACGTGAGCAAGACTGCCATAACCTTTCTTCTGTTAACCAAAATCTTACTGCATTTCGTCATTAAAGTTCGGGTTTGTGCCGTAGAAAACACCCAAAAAGTGTCCAGAAATAGCTTCATAAGAAGACAAGTTTTGTTCTAATGAAAATAAAAAGAACTACCCCGACTTGCAGGCGCCATTCAAAGCAAAACAAAGAACTTTGAGCGAATTTGCAAAGTTTTTTGACAAGAAAAAGGGGATCAAAACAGTGGAAGAAACTCTTTTATTTCACAACAAAGAAAGTGCAAAAATAGATGCTAACCAAAATAGAACAGTGAACGAAGAAAACCCACCCACAGAACTCAATTCGCTCAATTCAATGATGATGAAGATGAAAATGAACAACCTCAAGTTCCCCTGCCCCCTCCACGTGCTCATTGACGGTCCGTCGGAACAAACAGAGACTGACGCAGTCATGAGGATGTTGGTATCAAGTGACTTATATGACAAAGCAATTTATTCTGCTTCAATACATATCGAGAGATGCGAAGATGCAGTCTATGACATTCTGAAGAATAAGGAAATACTCCGAAACATCGACGAACACCTTGTTTACACTTCAACGTCACTTGAAAGCACTTTGATAGTCTTGGTGCAATTGACTAATATCGACCCCGAGCCATTTTTGGAAATGAAATCGTTTAACAAGGTCTTACAACTCTTGAACTACCAGATGGAGTACAACAATTACTTAAATATTTTGGACTGTTTGGACAATTTTGTGTCTTCACACGAACCGGAAGTGATCATCTCGCTCATCGAAAACAATTTACTTGATATTTTGATAGACGGGATGAACTCCGACGATGACGAAGAAGAGTGGGTCTTGTGTGGGAGTATACTGAGAGAATGTCTCTCTATCGAGGACGTGCAAAACAAACTTGCAAACAGCTTCGAGACTCTTTGGGGCTTTTTGGTCCACCTCTCCCAAATTTACCAAAACGTATTGGTCAAGATGCAAAGCCACGTTTTCCTTATTTGCCTTTGTGAGTGCATTGAACACTTGACTAGGAACAGCGAAGTGTCTCAGATTATCAGAGACAAATTTCCACAACTACTCTTATAACTATTATGTATTTTGTTAATTGATTATTCTTTATTTGGTTGATATCGATTTTTAGTCTAAGCAGAAAATGGATTATCTTTTAGTTTTTTTTAAACTATTTGTTGCTATAAAATTATTTAAATTTTGATCAATTTATTTTTTATAAATATCACTTACAAATGTATAAAAAAAATGATTAAAACTTTGTATAAAAAACGTTTCCTTATTTAATAACATCAAATCAAATTGTGACTATTGGTATTTTAAAAATAATAAAAATATGCTTTTTATATATAAATTTATTATTATTTATTTTTTTTTGAAAATAGTTCTGGAACAAAAATAAAAATTTAACAAAATAAAGAATTTTGAAAAAACAACTTTTTTATTTTGATATTTTGGTTATTTGAAGCGTTTTTACTTTTTTCAGTTTTTACCTATTTGAAAGTATTCAACTTCTTTTACATTAGAAATGTGGGAAAAAGCCCAATCAAAATTATCGCTCTTTTCTTTTTAAAAATACACATGGGGTTTGAACAACCCCAGAAATTAATACCATACTATTAATTAAAAATATAAAACCAAATTTTTTAAGTTTACTATTTTTTGGTAAAAATGTTATTATTATTTATAGTTAAATAATTCATCGACATAATTAATTATTTAATAAATTTATAAGAACAGCTACTAGTAAAAATATTTTAAAATTGATTTTAGTTTTGTCGATTTAAAAATAGTAATTTTATAAAAAATTTAAAACATTTTATCACTTCATCAATACAAAATGTTATTAATTATTATTTTTTTAATACTTTTATATAAAAATGTGTAATAATAAAATTTTTACATCCTAATTTTGACAAGTAATAGTAAAAAACCACAAAATAATCAAACACATAGTAAATAACAAAGTATATATAAAAACCAATAAATACTATTAATTAACAAAAAAGAGAAAAACCAATAAAAGTATTAAATTCAAATTATAAATAAACCATATTATAATAAATCAAAAAACGAATGATGAATTTGCCTCTTTTCAGTTTTTTTCATTTTAATGAGATTTGGGTTAATTTGATGAAAAATAGAAATAAAGAAAAGGGTTTTCAAATCTTTAAAAATCAAAAGGATATGTTCATCCTCTTAATCACGTTGTTTCTTTCGACACGTTCCCGAGTGATTTCACTTTTCACTCCGAACTATAACAACATGACACTTTCTGTTCAACAAGAAGGATTGGACTACATTCGACAACAGCAAACAATTATTCCGATAACAGTTGTTGGCTCTCGCAAATCGGGGAAGTCCTTTTTATTAAACTCGATAACAAAAGTGAATGGCTTTTCATTGGGCCACGACGACATGCCGAAGACAAAAGGTGTTGAGTTTTTAGCAAAGGAAGTGAAGTATGGCGACCATACAGCTCTCTTTTACGACACCGAAGGACTTTCCAGTAACCCTCTTGGGTTTGACAAGAACTTAGTGTTGTTTGGTGTGATGGGGTCATCACATTTAATAGTCAACGTTAAAAATGAGATATTGTTTAGTGATGTGTTGTCGCTGTCAGTCATCTCGAAACTTGCGGACTACTACAACAAACACAAAGTCCCCAATTTCAAGTTTCCACGACTCACATGGGTGGTTGAAGATTACCACCAAATCAACTCGATCAAAAAGGAGAACCTCCTCTTCGACTATTTTTTGAGTGAGAAACCAAATCCAGAGCACAACGCGATGATCACTGAATACAACGAAATAGTTAGAGTCTTAAAACAACTCTTTCCGATACAACGGCTCTTCTTGTTACCTGAGCCTATCGACGATTTGTATCGATTCACGAATTTGGACCAAATTCGGTATAATGCACTGAACGAAAATTATGTGAAAGAGACGACTGAGTTGAGGGAGTACATTCAAAGGACTGAACCTTTCCAATTACGAGGTATTGTCACGGGCGACCGTTTGTTACGTTGAGTCATTTTAATAATTGAATTGCAAATGGTCAACATAGTAACCAAAAGAATATGCAAATTATGTGGAAAACGTGCTGAACGAGGTGATGAAAGAAGAGATCAGTCCATTAAAATTACACATTGTGGAACACTTTGGGGAGAGCGTTGTGAAAGAGTCGTTGAGTCTGTTTGCGAAAAGGATGGAAGCAATCCACTTACCTACTGAGCTCTCATATCTCCATGAGAAGAAGCTCTTCTACGCGAATGAGTCGCTTGTGTCTTATGAGGCTGGAATGGACGGATTTCTCGAGATGAGCACGTACAACTCTCTAAGAACGAATTTACTGCGAGAGATTGAGAGGAAGTTCAAAGAGATAGTGATGGGGAATGAAAAAGCGTCACATGTATTTAACAACGAGGTTTTGGAGGAGTCGATGGCGATGATAGAGGGGAAGAAAAAGTCGGAGGCGATTGCAATGAAAGACGTGATGATGACACATTACGACAAATACTCTGTTGGCCCGACTAAGGAGTTCTATCACAAAATGCTCCAACAACACTTGGACTTAATCACTGATGACATGAGGTGGGATGTACTCATCGGATGCTTGTTGTGCTTTGTCATCAGTTTCTTATTGGTCCGATTTGCTAAAATAGGGTTTGTGAAAGCAGTACTGTTGTGCGTGTTTGTGTTTGGAGGTATTTCGGTGATGATGGCGTTTTCTGTGTGGAAGCTCTCCATTCTAGAAACTATCCAGATGATGTACTTTGCTGTCACTGGATTGTCTGAAACCCAAATTTTTGTTGTTGCGTCGTCGTTTTGCTGCCTCTTCTTCTTTTCTTTGTTTTGATTGAATTTTATTATATTTTGTGTTGATATGAAAAAGAAGAACAAGAAGTGTTTGATTGAACTCTACAATGGTTTATTTTAATAAAATAATAGTATATATGTGATTTATTATACTTTTTAATTATATTATACATTTTAATAAAACAATAGTTATGTGTTATTCTATTATTAATTAATAATTATTAATAAAAAATTAATACAAATATACAAAACAAGTGTATAGCAATTAATCCTCCTTTTTCTCGTCTTTTTTCTTCCCGAAAATTTTTTCTTTAAATTTAGTGAATTGCCCCTTTTTCTTCTCTTCGAGTGGTTTCTGTTCGACAGAAAGTACTTCTTTTGTCCCCTTTTCTTCTTTGGGAGATGAACTCCTCATCCTGTCGACAGGCGTCTCAGGTTTTCTTTCACTACTTGTGTCACTGCTGACTTTTCCACTGTCGGTCGACAATTTTGAAGATTCGAGTAATTCGGTCTCTGCTTTATTTAAAAGATCTGGTTTTTCTAGCTTTTCCGTTGGACTTGTATTACCGTTAGCTTTTTCAATGAACTCAATTGGGATGGAGACGGTGTGTCGTTTCTCAATTTGCTTTTCTTTCAGAAGTTCCTTTTGGTGCTGCTTGTCCTTCTTCTCCTGCTCTTTCTGTGATATTTTGCGTTGTTTCTCGACTGTTTTCTCTGTCCGTAGATCCCCATTGAAGATCCCGTTACACGCCAAAGTGAAGTACTTGACCGCCGCGTCTTCCGTGAATTTCATCATCTCCCTCTTGATCTTCTCTGTTTTGGATTTGTTCAGTCGCGCTTCTTCTGTTCTGAATATGTCGGGGTGATGACTTCTTAAGTTATCGACTGGTGAGATGATGACAAGGTCAGGGATAGTGTATACCTTATCCACAAATGGGTTAAATGTGTTGACTACGTGTTGTCTGACAACCTCCGAAATCTGTGGAATAGCTATTTGGATCTTGTCTGGGAGGACCATGAACTTCGTGACAATCATATTGAGAGCGAAGTGGATGATGTTGTCTATCGTCTGTGATGGGTGGAAGTATGACCTCCCCACTTGTAATTTGTAATCGACGTGGATCTCGGGGGTTTCGTGAAATGAGATGTACACACTCTTCGAAGGAACGTCCGCAAACTCGACGCGACTTTTCCCTTCCAGACTTGGCAGAGCCAAATACAAGAAAACAGGAAAGCACGTCTGTGTGAATGGGACTTTGATTTTCATCGATATTTCAGCGTGAATGTCTGACTGGTATGAGACGTCACTGTCGAACCAAAATCTTCCCAAACTGCCAGTAGGTATATGCGTTACCATAGTCTTCAGAAGAGGCGGTCGAATTCCTAAGAAGAATTCGGTGCAAGTAATTTCTGGTATAACACTCGACTTGATTTCGTCTAACTTTCTTTGAACACTCTCCTTCATTTTTCGTTTCAAGACGTCTGAAGTTGTTATAATATAAAACGCTCGGGCTAAAAAGAAGTTTGTGAGTTCCACCCACGGCAAAGCGTCTTGTGATATGTTTGGAGTGAGTCGAGCAAGTTCTCTAAAGAGTGTTACAAACGCGTCGTCGGCTTGTTTGTACTTTGCACGGCCTTGTTGGAATGTTTTGATGTAATACAACCAAAATTCGAATTGGTATCCGTGTCTGAAGCGAATCAAAACAGTGTAAAATGGTGGGATGATCTCTGTCGGACTGTTTAACTCGATGAAGTTGTTTTTGTTAATTTTCGATCGTGCGAAGTAGATGTTAGTGATTTGTAACGTCGAGATCTTAGTTTTGTACTTCACCGTGTTGATCTGGAGGATGATGTGTTCTTTGTCGACACTAAAGAAGCCAAGTTGTTCTTCTTTTCCAAAGACGATAATGCACTCCGACTTCAAATTGAGTGGATCTGAGAAGACGGAGATCCAGTCGTCCACGCCGCTCAAGTTCAAATTTTTCGAACGAGGCGATGGGGGAAACTTTTTGAGTTGTGGCGACGACATAAGTGGGGGAGTTTTATTGAAGTGAGCGCGGATGAAGAAGAACAGTGAGAGTGTTGTGATGCCAAGAAATGAGATTATAAAAACAAGGAGAGCAAATAACATCGACTCTATAGAGCTTGAATTTTCAAGTTTCAATTTAATAAATTAACTAATAAGACTAGTTAAATACTATGTACTATGAGTGTTATAAAAAGACAACTAAAGCATTATGGGTGAGTTATTCTATCTGTCATTCATAAAGAATAGCACTGGGTTTTTCTTTCTTGTGATACTTCATGAGCATGTGGACTTCACATACTAATGCTATGAAGGTCGACGCTAAGATGAGTAACATTGTGAACTTCCCTTTGAAACAATTCAATTTCAGAAGTTTGAGGACGATGTCATAACACGCGGGGCTGAGTCGGGAAACAACACAAGCACCACTCTTGATGTCTTTGTATCGACAACAGTGCAACTTTCGATGACTACTTTGATACAAAAGTAATACTAAATTACATCACAAAGTAATGAAAGAGTGGTGAAGAACAAACGCCAAGGTGATTTTCATTGTCGATGTTGTGTGCAAGAGTTTCTAATGCATTTTCATCTCTCAATGCGTTCAGAGTAAATATTATAGTAAGTACCGCCATCACCGCATTAGTTATTCTATGCTTCTTCCCTTCATAGAAATACACGTGGAATTCACAGAGAGTGAGTAAAAAAGCGGCGGCAGCAACTCCATAGAGCCTATAACCAATATCGTATATATCACTCACTCCACTAAACGTTTTAATGTCTTTCATTTGAAGATAAGCAACACCCAAACTCACTAAACTGGTTACAACCAAACACCCTCCCGAGAGAAAGAGACTTGGCCTTTGCCATTCGTTTGTAAGACCACTCATTGTGTTTTTCAGTTTCGTGGTATTTCCTATTCAGAATAAATTATTTTACTATTTAAATTTTTATTCAAAATAGTAAATTTATAGTTCTATAAACCATATTTAAAAAAGGAAGAAAAGCGTACAAACAGAAAACGACCATCTAATGTTATTTATCTTTCTTGACAAAGCCACTCTTGGAAGAGTAGAGCAATGACACTGTAAATGCACTCTCATAGAAGAGAAGTGCTTTAAGTTTGTTCTTTAGTCTAATACACTGCTCTAAAGTGGCTTCTTCGATCTTATTCTTATGTGTTTCAATCAGTTTGATTGCTTTGTTTAATTCACTTAGAGTAGAACTTTTTTGAGTACTAATGTCGGTTTTAATTTTATCACTTTTGGTTGTTGCCGAGAGGTACGCGTCGTGCTGTAAACACATCAAGACGAAGTCTAATATCTCTTTCAATTTGATGTCTGTTGAGACTTTATTCTTTGCTTCGTCCTTTGTGAGTAACTTCTTAGCTAACTTTCCAAGGTTTGCAGAGATCCAAGCATATCGAATAACTAAACTGAATTCATCTTGGAACACGTTGAACGTCAAGTCGTCGTCAATTTCTATAGAGTCTTGAACTCTCGCCTTCTGAATGTGTGATAACAATTTGCTGAAGTCGATGTTACCATACACTCGCACATCTGCATTTAACATCTTTTCGAGTTTGATGATGTCGCCACCAAACATAATTTTGTCATTGGGAACAGAACCCAATTTTCCACAGTAATACACATACCAATCCAACCAGATCTTTCTGTACTGCTCTCCTAAGAAGTCTGGGACCATCGGGTTGAAAAATGGAGCATCAAACATCGCGTCGGAGAACACATCCAAACACCTCACGGGGTCGATGAGTGGGCCATTCTCCGAGAAACAGACATTCCCATCGGAGTCGGTGTACACATAATATTTGTCCTTCGACACTTTAGTGGACTCCGAGAGTTGTGTTGTGTTCCGTAAGCTCCCAACTAACTTCAGTCGATTCACATCGACCACCTTTTTTATTATGTATTTGACGTATCTAATATCAATATATAATATGATATACGCGGTGACATACTTCTCGTCGGGATTCACAAAGACGATATCCAAATTGTTGTCTTGCAGCACAAATAGTGGTTCTAAGTACCACATCATCATGATCCTTTTTTGTTGCATATATCTTGTAAAGATCTGCTTCTTAAGGATCATTGCTCTCTCACCAATAGCTTTCTTTCTTTCTTCACGCTCGTAGTATCTCATATTTAACTCTTTTATTACTTCTTGTGTCACATTGGGTTGTTTGCGAAGTTCGTCGTCTTTAGCCGCTGCACTCTTGTCTTCATTAAGTGTTTTTAAGTCACTCTTCAACTCTTTTTTGAGTTTCATGATGAACGGATCGTCGGGTTTATTCCCTGAAACAGCTATATCTATTAACTTCTCCAACCGTCCTATTTCTGGCTTCTTGTGCTTTGTGTCGCTTATCGCTTTTTTCGACTTCTCTTTCTTCATTGGTTTTGGAGATGCGTTACTATTAGTGACAGAAAGGCCCATCACTGGATCTTTTAAATTTGAGTGACTCGACTCGAACAAATGTTTGGCGTTAATTTCTGGGAGGGGAATCTCTTCCATTGGCTTTTTCTTCTCTAACGTCCTCTCAAAGGCGGCGACGTCGTCTTTCTCTTTGTCAATGTCCTTCTGTGAAAGTTCTTTAAAGACCATCTCCCTCATGAATAAGTCGATTTTCTTGCCAACACCGGGATCAAAGGAATCGAGCAAGAAGGAGTCACTCACACACTTCAATTTGTCGTCAGAGAAAATTTTGTTGTCGGGAAGTTCCCACACCAAATTACTTTCAACAAACCGTTTGATCACAAAGAACTTCTCCGCTAATGTCAAGATGGACTGTAACTTGTTTTTGTTCACACTCAAACACTGAAAAACAAAGGCATCACTCTCAACACCCTTTTTAGACTGTTTGGACGCACTCTCTAAGTACTCTTTCTTCCATATAACTCGACATAAGAACATCAAACTTCGGACGACTAGTGGAGCGTATCGGAAGTCACCTACAATATTCTTGGATATGTCCTCATACATGTCATCTAACTTCAAATTGGACTTCTCGGCATCGGACCGGCTCAATAACGCACTCACGAGAACAACAAGTTCCTTAATACTTGCGTCTGGTGCATTTTTAAAAATCGCCTCCAGTACTATAGAAGCGACTTCGAAGAGTTTGACTTGCATACTAGTGTACAAGTCGACTGTTTTCTTGGTGGAAATGAGAAGCTTTCTGACAAAACTCGAAACGTTTCTTGCGATAGAGTCTGGGATGATCTCGGACTCGACAATGCATTTAAACATCTCGTGGTAGTCATCTGCATTAAATCGATTGACAAAGACGGCTTTAGTTGCTGTGACCGAAGCGAAGAAGGGCGTGTAATTCTTTTTTAAGTCGGCGATTTCGTCCGAATTGGGTTGGGTCCCTTCACTCTCACTCTTACAGATCTGTTTCAGTTTGGCGTCGCGACTGATCAATAATGAGAAGACCATCATCACACACAAAGAGTTCAATTCGTGTGTTGTGTAGTGGACGGTATTTCCAAACAAACAGAACGCAAACTTGTTTGCAAGGTCGTTGGATTGATTGACGGGAAGACTCTTATTGTGGAGTGCTTTTGTGAAGAGGCCAATGTAATTCCGTGGCGCTTTAATATCTGTGGAATGCGCCGAACTCTTCATTTGAGCCAATAAGATGAAGAGATAATTAGCGATATTTGGGTTAGTAACACAGTACTGAATTGTATAGTCGCAGAGAGTACTGTCAAGTTTCTCTCCGGAGTACAAGAACTCTGAACCTTTCTCACCAGTCAAGTCTTTGAATGGTTTAGATGCCAAAAAGTAGTCGAAACAATACGCAAGTCGAGAGCACTTAAACACGTCGATTAAGTACTTCACTAGTCTGAGTAACTCTGCTTCTTTGTTTTCCATCATTAAGTTGAAGAATGACAATGCGAGTTGTTCTAAGTTGTTATTTAACACTTTATCACTAATACTTTTGAATTCTTCAGTCTTTGTGTTTGAATGGAGACTGCACGTGTTTTTAGTTAAGCAGCAAATTTTATCAGTATGTGGGCAGTTTGCGTACTGACAACAATTGCCGCAATTACACAATGCATATAACGTGGTTTTACCCTTTTGATGTGGTTTAGTGTGCAGTTGATGTGTTTTCATTGGCACGTCTTCTTGCCTGTTTTCACCTCGTGGAGTTTTTGGAGCTGCTGAAGGGGTGGAATTGGAAGGAGTGCCCTTTTCAAGACACTTCTCACAGGCGGGACAGAAGTATAAAGTGATTGATGGACTGCATGTACAGATGTAATACTCATCGAGTAACGCAGTGTTGCACGCAGACTGTTTTTGCTTGAAGTACTCTGCTTTTGAAGACGAAATGCCGTCAAAAAGAACAGAATCAAAAAACTCGTTATAGTTAACCGGCTTTGCGACGTCTGAAATTGACTTTTTGATTGTGTTGATATCCTCTTCGGTAAGAGCAGAAGGTAAATCGTCGTTGTCGAACTTGGAAAAGATGTCAGAGAGCCGTTCGATTGTGTCTTCCATTTAAGTGTTTTTGAGTTGAAGAGACAAAACAAAAAGTTGTTTAGAATGAACTGGTTTACTACTCTTTTGCTCTTTTTTTAATAGTGTTTTTGGACAATTTGATCTACTATTAATACAAAAGAATGTGTGTAATGATATATTATCAAATATATTATTATCAATAGTTTTAGTTTCTCTATAACTTTTTGTTATTGCTTTTTAACAAAAATTCTAATAAGATTTTTATAATTTCAAAACTAAAATATATATAATAATAAACAATAGTAAATTAAATAATAAGTTATAGTATACATGAATTTTATTAAATATACTATATTGTTTTGTTTAATAATAATAATAATTGTACTTTTTACTGTATATGAAGAGACTTCGCCATAAAACAATATATAAAGTCGTATCGAATTAATCCACTAATCATTGCAACACAAACAATCATCAAAAGGTTATTGTGATGGCTATAAATCAATGTTCAGTTCTTCAAATATTGTTTATACTGATGTGTAATTGTCGATTTTGTTGTATAACTTATCAATCTTTGCTTGTCAAAATAACACATTTTGTTTTGTGGAGTTTGTGGAGTTACATAACAATAATGTTATTACAGTATGGTCACTTTGCTTTATGTATAACTTTGCCTTATGCAAGACTATTATAGTTAATTAATAATTAAAATGAATTATTACATAGTTTGATAATTACAAATCAAAAACACCAAAATCCATTTCAGTTTTTATTTATTTAAATGGTTTTTATAATTATAACAATTAAATTATATTTATTGTACTTTTTGGATTGAACAATCTTGTATTTAATCATTCATATACAAAATCACAACCAAAATGTGTTGTTCATTGTAATCTTTGTCAAAAAATAGTATTAATTGCAAATAAAAAGATTCAGGTGTTATTCCACCAAGATTATAATTCTATGCTCTTTGTCTTTATGTCAATCAATATGTGCTTCATTTAAATTGTAAAATACTGTTGTTGTTTTTGTTGAACTCATTCAATAAATACTTTCAAAAATGGGGTTGTTGTCTTATAAACATTTCTTATTTCATCAATACTTGCGGAACCATGAAACTTAAATAAATTTCTTTTGACATTCTTTTTCTTAACACCTGATACCTCTATATACACATTTCCACTTTTTAATTTTTTTATTAAACAAACTATAAATTAATTCTTTTGTTATTTAAATTTTTTTTAAATCCCAAAATAAAAACTGTAATAGTTCAATTATAATTTTTTTATTTACCTTTAAGACAGGTTAAAATATTACGAATAAATATAGAAGTGAAATTATAATAAGCTAATTATAAAAAAAATGGAGAGACAAAAAAA